TTCTTCCAATCTGCAGGTAACTTTCCTTCCTTCCAAACCCTCTGCAGTAGTGGTGTGAGCATATCCGCTGTTGTCTCTGAATCTATTTTCAGTGCACCCGGAGAGATTCCCACTGGTCCTGCTGCTTTACCGGCTTCCAGCAACTTTATGGCATTCAGGACATCTGCTTTTGTCGGAGGATTTGTGTTCACTGATAGTTCTGTGGCTGGGCTGCTGGTGGTATTTCTGGACGAGTTGCAGGCGGCGGTGGGTTCAAGAGTTTTCGAAGTGGTCACCACACCATCACCTTTGTTTCTCCTCTTTGGTATCCAGGTCTCCTTCACTATCTTCCATTGGTTTCATCTGTCTTGATCTCTTGCCAGCAGCCTGTTCTGCTTCACTTACAGGTGTGTCGTAGCAGAAGCATCTTTCTTCTTTGCGCACACTCTTCTTCCCTTCTGTGCCCAGTGTTTTATACGTTGTACTCACTTCTTCTCTTCGTTGTTCATCCTTGCACTGGTTCATCTTCTGCACCATCATCTTACTCTCTTCTGTCAGCTTCCATGTGCCCGTCGAGATCCATTCCTTGTCTTGTTTCCTCTTCCTTCCCAAAACGGCTATGTGGGTTTCCTTCCACGTCTCTTTCACAGAGTTCCAGTGTTCTTCCACACTGGTCTTCTTTGGGATGTCGCCTAATGTCTCCCATTTTTTCCTGACAGCTGACGTGAAGATGTCCTTTCTAGTTTTATCCTTCAGTTCCTTCTGTCACCAACTTCTTTGAAGGCTTTCAACTTGATTTTGAAGGTTCCTTGCACTAGACAGTGAGGGGTGTGAAGCCACATCTGCTCCCATTCTTCATCCTGGGTCGAGTAGGCTGCGTCTCCACCTTCAGATTGAGATGGAGTCGATCTGATTTTTAGTGTGTCCTGGTGTCTGGTGAAGTCCATGTCGCCTTGTGTTTGTACGCGCTGGCTCCAATCACCAAATCATCGAGTGCGCAGAAGTCTGCAAACAGTTCTCCACTCTTGTTGGTTTCACCGAGTGCTTCTCGATCCATGATGAGTTCTCTTCCTGTGTTGTCCGCTGCGAGTTTGGCATTCATGTCGCCCCACCCATTAGAATTTTCATGTCACCAACTGGAGTCTTGTCTAGTACTGATTGTAGTTGTCTGTAGAAGTCCCCCTCCTTCTCTTGGCCTGCACTTTTTGTTGGCGCGCAGCGTCGAACGATTGTCACTTTCTTTCCTTTTGAGTTGAATCAATCTTGGTGTCATGATCCCGGATGAGATTGGTTCCCACTGTTCTTGGGGACACCATGGTGGCCACTCCGAAACTCAGCGTGCTCGTGGTTGTTGTCTGGGTGACAATATCGGAGTAGATTATTGACTCTCCAGTTAAGAGTTTGGAGGGTCCACTGCCATTCCATCTGCTTTCGCAGATTCCAAGCACTTCTATGCCTCACCTTCTCATGTCTTTTGGAATCTGGGCAGCCTTACCACCCAGCTTGAAACATTATGCAGACATTTCATGTCTGTATGTTTACTTTCGCTTTCATCGAGAGAGAGGTGACACATCGGCCGATTGGCTTTTCGAATGCTTTTACCGACCGGAGTCATTTCGTCTCTCCGATCCCAGCGAGGAATGAGTTTACTTTTAATACTTTCTTCGTGCTTTGAAGTTTCTTTAGCGATTGGATTGGTTTTCCGGGGTAGACTTGCTAGCCGTATGCCTAACCTTCTCTCTTTATCCGGGCTTAGGACCGGCTAGCAACTAGTTAACCAGGCGAGGTCGAGTAGCTCTGATTGCCATCATATGATTACTGGCCACACTTACGATATGGTCAACGGTCAGATGCCACCTTTTAGTCAGGAAATGTAATGAGTGTCATACACCGTTAAGTGCAGTTTCTGGAACCTGTGGATTCATGTGAATCATGCTAATGCACTCATTCTTGACTGATTTCTGCCTGGTTTAGTTTGTTTTGTTTTTATAAAGTTCGATTCCAGTGTTGGTACTACTCTGTGTCCGTCGGGCTTGCATATCACAACGTGTTACACTGGCGATGACGCTCGTTCCTTGAGTTCCTACTATGCCAGAAAGATCGGTTGGATAGTGGTAAGGTAAAAAGCTGTTACCGTTAGAGTTTCATAAACTACGCTTTGAAACGGTAGAATTCGGCCTCAAAAATGGCACAAAACCCTCTATCGTACGCCTCCTGGCTATTTAGAACAATCAGATCTCAATCCAACGGTCTTAAAATCCTGTGTTACAAGTCTTGAGCGTATGTTCCTTGGACTCAATAGTCACGAAAAACTTTCCTTTTTGTCCGATACGTCATAGAAACAACTACTGTATCGGGAACTGGCAAGTATCAGCCGCTTGACCACTTCCAGCAGTATGCGATACCCACTCAACCAGGACTTTTGTTGCCTACCTTTCCTTCACTTCCTGCTGCCGATATACTACCTCACCCTGTGATTACTGTTGACTATCCAAGCTAGCAAACAGTTATACCTGATCACCCAAAGCCGCTCTACCAAACTTACTTGAAGCTTTCAGCGTACGAACCTTATGCCCGATTGAGAGAGATAAGAAAAAGTTGTACTCATCAACCCATGTGCTCATTCGTACCGTAGGCAGTCAGTCACATTTATCGTGTGAGGGCTAAATATACTACCTGACTGTCTAAACGTGAATAAGTGGAGCGAGGTTGAAACCTGTGACCTACTGATTGGAAGTCAACCTAAGTCACAGCTCCACCATACGAAATCGGCAAACAGACATTTGTGTCTTTAAAACAAACATATAACTTCAGTGTGGTTTTCCACTTAACCTCACCTAACCAATAAGGCAGTTTTTAAAATCTGCATTACAGGAATGTGTATATTTGCACATTTTCGATCACAAAAGGGCAACAGTGAAGCCCAACTGGAAGATATGGACCTCAGGTAAATATTCACGGAGGAGATACAGGATTTGCACAAACGTGACAACGAGGCTCATACTGAGTAAAACTGACGTGATATTTTGTGTACTGTGGAAGAGACGGTTAAGACAGTTAGCAACCTACATACAAAAGTCCGCAAACTCATCCGAACTAGTTGGTGCGAAAAGAAGTTTCTTGCTCTGTGACCACGATAAAAAACAAAGGCAGCTGAAACGTAATTTGACCATGAGTTTTCGCAGTGACCGCAAGCAGCCGTGAGTTGTGAGAGCAAGAGAGATGGAGAAGGCATCAACATTCACTAACAGCCAGTAATTATTTAATGGAGATACTGGCAAGAACTCCGAAGGTTACTGAGACTATCGCTAAAATGAATAGTACCCTGATGACGTCTCAGGACAGGCGGCTGGAACATTGGGCAGAACACTTTGAAGCACAGTTCAACTGACCTACAGCAACGCTTCAGTTGCTCTGGATCTACCTCGAACCTTGAGTAGGATAAAGATGTCGGTTCCTTAGTTCTCCTCGAATCTAAAACGATGCAGACAGCAGGATCTGACAGTTGACCACCCGAAGTTTTCAAGGATGGATGTAAACAATTGCTAATTAAAGTGACAGAGATGAAAATCAGAGGTATTGCTTTCAGACTGGTGGACTTCGCTGATCATCCTACCCTGTAGAAAGGGAGAGTAGTTTTCTTGTGACAACTATGCGGAGGATCAGTTTGACCAATATTGTGACCGAGATCCTATGGCCTACAGGTATCCGACGGATACCTGAAGAACAGCAAACACGAGAAAACCTAGCAGATTTGCAGACCTGGACGAGGGTGAATCGACCATATCTTTGACCTCTGACAGGTCCTGGAATACAAACATGCTTATATCCCACATTGCGTGACGCGAAATCAACACTTAACTCTTAATCATGAGGTGTTGTAATGTTCAATTGTGAATGGAATACGGAGAAAGTGTGTGACTAGTTGGAACTCTACTTGGACTCATGCAAGGTCGTATGATGTCATCTAAGTTGGCAGCAGCTGGTGGTGTCCTCAAGGGATGCTCATCGTCACCCTCTCAGGTTACCTTCGTCGTAGAGTAATGATATGGTATCTAGCTGACTTAGAGTACACAGACAATATTGTCCGGCTGGGCGAAGACTGACACGATACAGGGTCTTCTGAATACTTTGAGCAGAAATCTGGCTACATTTGTCTTGCGTTTTGCATCTGACCGACATAGACGCCAGTTTGAGGTGCTGAAATGAGAAATTTTGAGGCTGGGACGCACATTAAAATAAAATTGCCTAAGCAGTTAATCTAACTTGATGCCATCAGTGAAGTGTTGTCGTGACGTTTAACTACAGCAGCAACTACACAGATAAATATTTCAAACTATGTTTCCTCACTTCGAACAATTTTAGTTAGTGTCTAAGGCTTGTTTGCCCTCATTTCTCATTTGACATCATTATGTGTATATTGGTTTTTTCCTGATTTCAGAAGTCAACAGATTATACAGGTGTAAACTGAACCCTTTCTACCCTCTTTGTCATCTACCACTTTATAGGTCATGTGGGACTCCGAATCCTCCTTCGATGCCTTTCTGTCGGAATTGTCGAGCCGGGCTTCGCTAACAACAATGTGTTTGTTTACGTGGGACTATGGTACCTCACTCATTATGCAATATCTGTGTTTACTTACAATTGCTTTCATATTCTGAAGTGTTTTGGGATTAGGAACGAAAAAGTGTCTTTGAGATGCTCGAAATCAATAACCGCTAAGCATAGTCAGACATTTCGTTTGGAGACTCCTATACCTTACCGTGGCAAACTACTTGTGATACTGAATGAGCTTTTTGTAAGTCAAGTAACGTACTGAACTGGGACTTTTCGCTTGAGTTCTTCAAATAATTCTAGGTTTGCATCTTACTACTACTTCAGCTTGGTGAACCAGCTGGTATCATGAGTCTTGAGACAGTCAGTCTGCTGCACCTGGGGGGTACGGTCGTTGGGGTGCCTCTAAATAAGGCTTTCGAGATTAAGGGCTTCATGTGTGGAGCAGTCAACTGAAAGACAACATTATAATCGAGACGCGGGTTTATTTTGGTAGGAAAATAAAAGCGTATGACAATCTATTTCGACGTTTACTGAAATAGTCCAACTGAGCTTAAAGTGTAGGGTGTTTGACCCAGCCTTTGGCGCCACCACAAAGAGGTGCGCAAGGATTTCCCCGGACGATTGCGAATAGAAAACAGGGTTACCCGAGGTCCATAAACAAATTTCGCGAAGCAGTGCGCTCCGCCTTCGGCTGCTAGATGACGGGCCATTTGGTCGTAGACTATTGTACGGAAGCCGCAGTTACACCGTATCAGCCCCTCGTCGAAAAGACCAGGGTTGGCGTGTTTGCTTTTTGGTCCTCTTATTTGGGTGGTTGAGGCATTGCCACAACTATAAGAGAAGTAACTGGGAGAGTAAGTAGGCATTGTCGCAGGTTTATTTGAAGATGTAACAACGCAAGTTTGCCAGGATTTCGTCTCATGGTGATCGGAACTTTGCTTGATAGGTGGCGCACAGTGAACTTTGTTCCAGTGCCAGTCAACTGCAGTGATACATGAAGTTGAGTACGCGCAACTAGTGCAGTGCAATGTTAAACTGAAATGTTTATGTGCAGGATGGCGGACACGTTCTCCACATTCCAAGCATTTTAGATTCATACGGGGTGTGTGTGCTAAAAGTTGACTTGAATAACATATAGATAATTGTCCCTTCGGTGAATTGGGTAACGGCTCACTCATATCGTTCACACTGGGAGGCTTTGCTAACGGGTGTCCAGAGTGATGCAGGTATTCATGCCACTTGAGGTCTCTTTGGTGTGTAAAGTCCAGGCGACAGGAATCACATCGATATGTAGTTTGCTCCCAGTGTTGCTGAACATGTACGTAAAAAGTATGCGCATCAAATGTGTGTAGGTCTGAATCTATGCGTCCAATAACAGGTAGTTCAAAGTGTTTTAGGCAATATGGACAGAAAATATGATTTGTCTTTTTGTGGCAGTTGTGAAGGTGGGAAATCAGTTCGCAATAGTACGATGATCTAAATCCATAGCATATTGTGCAAACATATGGCGAGTCTAAATGAACATGTCTTTCATATAGGTGTGCAGCAAACTTCATGACCGATGTAAAGCAGTTTTCACATATAGGACACACAGGAACACCATCCATTAATTTTAAAGGGTTGTGCTGCTCTACATGACGATGTACTCTGTTGTGGAACTCCATGGTTGTGTCAACTGGTGTGGAAAGACATTCTGTACAGAATTCGAAAGACATCAACGAACCTTGGGCAATTTCGTTTACCAACAAGTGTGAGAGGATGTGTTTGAAGAACTTGATATTGTCTAAGTGATTTCCACATACTGGACAATTTACAAACCCGAGAACGGAAATAAAACTAGTCGTCGATTGATGTTCCCTGAGAGTACAATAGTATTGCCACCAAGGCATTCTGAGTTGCGCATTATCAGACAGACTTGATGTAACTGTCATCACTAAAAAAGAAAATTATCCAAATCGTCGACGTACCTTGTGTATTGCCGCAGGATAGTTCCGAGGACTGATTTTATCTGGTGAGCGGTGAGTCACGCTAAAGTGGAGAATGAAAAGATCGCAGGTATACAGAACGAGTGAACTTATGCACTTAAAAATAGTGTAAATCAAGTTCACATCTGCTCGCGAACTTGAAGTGGTACCTAGGGAAATATGATTACACAGTTGGAGTCAGCGTAGACTTCTGGTCTGATGACAAATCCAGGTACTACGATAACAGTGTGCTGATAGCTGGGCCAGCCGTGCTGAAACAGTTTTATATGGGTTCTGTTGCAGGACTCAGTAAAATCTAGACACTTATAGATGGTCGGGAGAAACGGACATTTGGCATTCAGATTTTCGGCCGAGCAGGAAATATTAATAGTTTACCACGTATCGTTAGTGCGACCCTACTCATGAATACGGATTCGAGAGTCAATGGCTTGATCGCTTTACACTTAATCCTAGCAAACCTAGTATTAGTGGTCCGGTCAGAGTGTAAGCAATGTTGTGAATGTTCAGGACCTAATACAATGGGAAATACGACTTCGCTCTCTATGGTCTGAACATCAGACTAACCATATTGATGTTTTTATACTTTTGCTGGAAACCCGCCAGCACTTAACAGCTGTAAAGGTAAGTTAGTTGACACGGTTGTAAACCTTCATTGACTGAGATGGCTGGAACACGTGTTACGTATGCCTAGTCACCGATTGTCTTGTCACACAAAGTTGGCCGAAGTAGGTTCAGGCTGGAAAAAGGCTCGAAGCGGCCAGACCAAAACGTGACACCAAAGGATGAGAGTGTAATTCCTGTTGAATAAGGTTGATAAAGACTAGGAGCATCCCGTAGTGTTGAAGCAACTGCCAAATTACTTCACGGTCGACGCCTCGATCGAAGGCCTTTTCAAAGTAAGGTGAAAAGTTGATCTCTATTCCATGCTCGGTTCTATGATGATGCGTAGCGTAGCGTTGCGGTTTGGCCCTGAAGCCGGCCAGCCTGTTGCGGTCGAAGTTTTGGAGCCAGCGCATCAGGATGATGCGGCTTCATACTTTGCTGGGGGTGGACAGCGGCACTCCAGTTCTTGCAAAGGCTTAGGTCGGCCTTCTTCGGAAGCTTGACAGGATGGCCCTTCTTCCAATCTGCAGGTAACTTTCCTTCCTTCCAAACCCTCTGCAGTAGTGGTGTGAGCATATCCGCTGTTGTCTCTGAATCTATTTTCAGTGCACCCGGAGAGATTCCCACTGGTCCTGCTGCTTTACCGGCTTCCAGCAACTTTATGGCATTCAGGACATCTGCTTTTGTCGGAGGATTTGTGTTCACTGATAGTTCTGTGGCTGGGCTGCTGGTGGTATTTCTGGACGAGTTGCAGGCGGCGGTGGGTTCAAGAGTTTTCGAAGTGGTCACCACACCATCACCTTTGTTTCTCCTCTTTGGTATCCAGGTCTCCTTCACTATCTTCCATTGGTTTCATCTGTCTTGATCTCTTGCCAGCAGCCTGTTCTGCTTCACTTACAGGTGTGTCGTAGCAGAAGCATCTTTCTTCTTTGCGCACACTCTTCTTCCCTTCTGTGCCCAGTGTTTTATACGTTGTACTCACTTCTTCTCTTCGTTGTTCATCCTTGCACTGGTTCATCTTCTGCACCATCATCTTACTCTCTTCTGTCAGCTTCCATGTGCCCGTCGAGATCCATTCCTTGTCTTGTTTCCTCTTCCTTCCCAAAACGGCTATGTGGGTTTCCTTCCACGTCTCTTTCACAGAGTTCCAGTGTTCTTCCACACTGGTCTTCTTTGGGATGTCGCCTAATGTCTCCCATTTTTTCCTGACAGCTGACGTGAAGATGTCCTTTCTAGTTTTATCCTTCAGTTCCTTCTGTCACCAACTTCTTTGAAGGCTTTCAACTTGATTTTGAAGGTTCCTTGCACTAGACAGTGAGGGGTGTGAAGCCACATCTGCTCCCATTCTTCATCCTGGGTCGAGTAGGCTGCGTCTCCACCTTCAGATTGAGATGGAGTCGATCTGATTTTTAGTGTGTCCTGGTGTCTGGTGAAGTCCATGTCGCCTTGTGTTTGTACGCGCTGGCTCCAATCACCAAATCATCGAGTGCGCAGAAGTCTGCAAACAGTTCTCCACTCTTGTTGGTTTCACCGAGTGCTTCTCGATCCATGATGAGTTCTCTTCCTGTGTTGTCCGCTGCGAGTTTGGCATTCATGTCGCCCCACCCATTAGAATTTTCATGTCACCAACTGGAGTCTTGTCTAGTACTGATTGTAGTTGTCTGTAGAAGTCCCCCTCCTTCTCTTGGCCTGCACTTTTTGTTGGCGCGCAGCGTCGAACGATTGTCACTTTCTTTCCTTTTGAGTTGAATCAATCTTGGTGTCATGATCCCGGATGAGATTGGTTCCCACTGTTCTTGGGGACACCATGGTGGCCACTCCGAAACTCAGCGTGCTCGTGGTTGTTGTCTGGGTGACAATATCGGAGTAGATTATTGACTCTCCAGTTAAGAGTTTGGAGGGTCCACTGCCATTCCATCTGCTTTCGCAGATTCCAAGCACTTCTATGCCTCACCTTCTCATGTCTTTTGGAATCTGGGCAGCCTTACCACCCAGCTTGAAACATTATGCAGACATTTCATGTCTGTATGTTTACTTTCGCTTTCATCGAGAGAGAGGTGACACATCGGCCGATTGGCTTTTCGAATGCTTTTACCGACCGGAGTCATTTCGTCTCTCCGATCCCAGCGAGGAATGAGTTTACTTTTAATACTTTCTTCGTGCTTTGAAGTTTCTTTAGCGATTGGATTGGTTTTCCGGGGTAGACTTGCTAGCCGTATGCCTAACCTTCTCTCTTTATCCGGGCTTAGGACCGGCTAGCAACTAGTTAACCAGGCGAGGTCGAGTAGCTCTGATTGCCATCATATGATTACTGGCCACACTTACGATATGGTCAACGGTCAGATGCCACCTTTTAGTCAGGAAATGTAATGAGTGTCATACACCGTTAAGTGCAGTTTCTGGAACCTGTGGATTCATGTGAATCATGCTAATGCACTCATTCTTGACTGATTTCTGCCTGGTTTAGTTTGTTTTGTTTTTATAAAGTTCGATTCCAGTGTTGGTACTACTCTGTGTCCGTCGGGCTTGCATATCACAACGTGTTACACTGGCGATGACGCTCGTTCCTTGAGTTCCTACTATGCCAGAAAGATCGGTTGGATAGTGGTAAGGTAAAAAGCTGTTACCGTTAGAGTTTCATAAACTACGCTTTGAAACGGTAGAATTCGGCCTCAAAAATGGCACAAAACCCTCTATCGTACGCCTCCTGGCTATTTAGAACAATCAGATCTCAATCCAACGGTCTTGAAATCCTGTGTTACAAGTCTTGAGCGTATGTTCCTTGGACTCAATAGTCACGAAAAACTTTCCTTTTTGTCCGATACGTCATAGAAACAACTACTGTATCGGGAACTGGCAAGTATCAGCCGCTTGACCACTTCCAGCAGTATGCGATACCCACTCAACCAGGACTTTTGTTGCCTACCTTTCCTTCACTTCCTGCTGCCGATATACTACCTCACCCTGTGATTACTGTTGACTATCCAAGCTAGCAAACAGTTATACCTGATCACCCAAAGCCGCTCTACCAAACTTACTTGAAGCTTTCAGCGTACGAACCTTATGCCCGATTGAGAGAGATAAGAAAAAGTTGTACTCATCAACCCATGTGCTCATTCGTACCGTAGGCAGTCAGTCACATTTATCGTGTGAGGGCTAAATATACTACCTGACTGTCTAAACGTGAATAAGTGGAGCGAGGTTGAAACCTGTGACCTACTGATTGGAAGTCAACCTAAGTCACAGCTCCACCATACGAAATCGGCAAACAGACATTTGTGTCTTTAAAACAAACATATAACTTCAGTGTGGTTTTCCACTTAACCTCACCTAACCAATAAGGCAGTTTTTAAAATCTGCATTACAGGAATGTGTATATTTGCACATTTTCGATCACAAAAGGGCAACAGTGAAGCCCAACTGGAAGATATGGACCTCAGGTAAATATTCACGGAGGAGATACAGGATTTGCACAAACGTGACAACGAGGCTCATACTGAGTAAAACTGACGTGATATTTTGTGTACTGTGGAAGAGACGGTTAAGACAGTTAGCAACCTACATACAAAAGTCCGCAAACTCATCCGAACTAGTTGGTGCGAAAAGAAGTTTCTTGCTCTGTGACCACGATAAAAAACAAAGGCAGCTGAAACGTAATTTGACCATGAGTTTTCGCAGTGACCGCAAGCAGCCGTGAGTTGTGAGAGCAAGAGAGATGGAGAAGGCATCAACATTCACTAACAGCCAGTAATTATTTAATGGAGATACTGGCAAGAACTCCGAAGGTTACTGAGACTATCGCTAAAATGAATAGTACCCTGATGACGTCTCAGGACAGGCGGCTGGAACATTGGGCAGAACACTTTGAAGCACAGTTCAACTGACCTACAGCAACGCTTCAGTTGCTCTGGATCTACCTCGAACCTTGAGTAGGATAAAGATGTCGGTTCCTTAGTTCTCCTCGAATCTAAAACGATGCAGACAGCAGGATCTGACAGTTGACCACCCGAAGTTTTCAAGGATGGATGTAAACAATTGCTAATTAAAGTGACAGAGATGAAAATCAGAGGTATTGCTTTCAGACTGGTGGACTTCGCTGATCATCCTACCCTGTAGAAAGGGAGAGTAGTTTTCTTGTGACAACTATGCGGAGGATCAGTTTGACCAATATTGTGACCGAGATCCTATGGCCTACAGGTATCCGACGGATACCTGAAGAACAGCAAACACGAGAAAACCTAGCAGATTTGCAGACCTGGACGAGGGTGAATCGACCATATCTTTGACCTCTGACAGGTCCTGGAATACAAACATGCTTATATCCCACATTGCGTGACGCGAAATCAACACTTAACTCTTAATCATGAGGTGTTGTAATGTTCAATTGTGAATGGAATACGGAGAAAGTGTGTGACTAGTTGGAACTCTACTTGGACTCATGCAAGGTCGTATGATGTCATCTAAGTTGGCAGCAGCTGGTGGTGTCCTCAAGGGATGCTCATCGTCACCCTCTCAGGTTACCTTCGTCGTAGAGTAATGATATGGTATCTAGCTGACTTAGAGTACACAGACAATATTGTCCGGCTGGGCGAAGACTGACACGATACAGGGTCTTCTGAATACTTTGAGCAGAAATCTGGCTACATTTGTCTTGCGTTTTGCATCTGACCGACATAGACGCCAGTTTGAGGTGCTGAAATGAGAAATTTTGAGGCTGGGACGCACATTAAAATAAAATTGCCTAAGCAGTTAATCTAACTTGATGCCATCAGTGAAGTGTTGTCGTGACGTTTAACTACAGCAGCAACTACACAGATAAATATTTCAAACTATGTTTCCTCACTTCGAACAATTTTAGTTAGTGTCTAAGGCTTGTTTGCCCTCATTTCTCATTTGACATCATTATGTGTATATTGGTTTTTTCCTGATTTCAGAAGTCAACAGATTATACAGGTGTAAACTGAACCCTTTCTACCCTCTTTGTCATCTACCACTTTATAGGTCATGTGGGACTCCGAATCCTCCTTCGATGCCTTTCTGTCGGAATTGTCGAGCCGGGCTTCGCTAACAACAATGTGTTTGTTTACGTGGGACTATGGTACCTCACTCATTATGCAATATCTGTGTTTACTTACAATTGCTTTCATATTCTGAAGTGTTTTGGGATTAGGAACGAAAAAGTGTCTTTGAGATGCTCGAAATCAATAACCGCTAAGCATAGTCAGACATTTCGTTTGGAGACTCCTATACCTTACCGTGGCAAACTACTTGTGATACTGAATGAGCTTTTTGTGAGTCAAGTAACGTGCTGAACTGGGACTTTTCGCTTGAGTTCTTCAAATAATTCTAGGTTTGCATCTTACTACTACTTCAGCTTGGTGAACCAGCTGGTATCATGAGTCTTGAGACAGTCAGTCTGCTGCACCTGGGGGGTACGGTCGTTGGGGTGCCTCTAAATAAGGCTTTCGAGATTAAGGGCTTCATGTGTGGAGCAGTCAACTGAAAGACAACATTATAATCGAGACGCGGGTTTATTTTGGTAGGAAAATAAAAGCGTATGACAATCTATTTCGACGTTTACTGAAATAGTCCAACTGAGCTTAAAGTGTAGGGTGTTTGACCCAGCCTTTGGCGCCACCACAAAGAGGTGCGCAAGGATTTCCCCGGACGATTGCGAATAGAAAACAGGGTTACCCGAGGTCCATAAACAAATTTCGCGAAGCAGTGCGCTCCGCCTTCGGCTGCTAGATGACGGGCCATTTGGTCGTAGACTATTGTACGGAAGCCGCAGTTACACCGTATCAGCCCCTCGTCGAAAAGACCAGGGTTGGCGTGTTTGCTTTTTGGTCCTCTTATTTGGGTGGTTGAGGCATTGCCACAACTATAAGAGAAGTAACTGGGAGAGTAAGTAGGCATTGTCGCAGGTTTATTTGAAGATGTAACAACGCAAGTTTGCCAGGATTTCGTCTCATGGTGATCGGAACTTTGCTTGATAGGTGGCGCACAGTGAACTTTGTTCCAGTGCCAGTCAACTGCAGTGATACATGAAGTTGAGTACGCGCAACTAGTGCAGTGCAATGTTAAACTGAAATGTTTATGTGCAGGATGGCGGACACGTTCTCCACATTCCAAGCATTTTAAATTCATACGGGGTGTGTGTGCTAAAAGTTGACTTGAATAACATATAGATAATTGTCCCTTCGGTGAATTGGGTAACGGCTCACTCATATCGTTCACACTGGGAGGCTTTGCTAACGGGTGTCCAGAGTGATGCAGGTATTCATGCCACTTGAGGTCTCTTTGGTGTGTAAAGTCCAGGCGACAGGAATCACATCGATATGTAGTTTGCTCCCAGTGTTGCTGAACATGTACGTAAAAAGTATGCGCATCAAATGTGTGTAGGTCTGAATCTATGCGTCCAATAACAGGTAGTTCAAAGTGTTTTAGGCAATATGGACAGAAAATATGATTTGTCTTTTTGTGGCAGTTGTGAAGGTGGGAAATCAGTTCGCAATAGTACGATGATCTAAATCCATAGCATATTGTGCAAACATATGGCGAGTCTAAATGAACATGTCTTTCATATAGGTGTGCAGCAAACTTCATGACCGATGTAAAGCAGTTTTCACATATAGGACACACAGGAACACCATCCATTAATTTTAAAGGGTTGTGCTGCTCTACATGACGATGTACTCTGTTGTGGAACTCCATGGTTGTGTCAACTGGTGTGGAAAGACATTCTGTACAGAATTCGAAAGACATCAACGAACCTTGGGCAATTTCGTTTACCAACAAGTGTGAGAGGATGTGTTTGAAGAACTTGATATTGTCTAAGTGATTTCCACATACTGGACAATTTACAAACCCGAGAACGGAAATAAAACTAGTCGTCGATTGATGTTCCCTGAGAGTACAATAGTATTGCCACCAAGGCATTCTGAGTTGCGCATTATCAGACAGACTTGATGTAACTGTCATCACTAAAAAAGAAAATTATCCAAATCGTCGACGTACCTTGTGTATTGCCGCAGGATAGTTCCGAGGACTGATTTTATCTGGTGAGCGGTGAGTCACGCTAAAGTGGAGAATGAAAAGATCGCAGGTATACAGAACGAGTGAACTTATGCACTTAAAAATAGTGTAAATCAAGTTCACATCTGCTCGCGAACTTGAAGTGGTACCTAGGGAAATATGATTACACAGTTGGAGTCAGCGTAGACTTCTGGTCTGATGACAAATCCAGGTACTACGATAACAGTGTGCTGATAGCTGGGCCAGCCGTGCTGAAACAGTTTTATATGGGTTCTGTTGCAGGACTCAGTAAAATCTAGACACTTATAGATGGTCGGGAGAAACGGACATTTGGCATTCAGATTTTCGGCCGAGCAGGAAATATTAATAGTTTACCACGTATCGTTAGTGCGACCCTACTCATGAATACGGATTCGAGAGTCAATGGCTTGATCGCTTTACACTTAATCCTAGCAAACCTAGTATTAGTGGTCCGGTCAGAGTGTAAGCAATGTTGTGAATGTTCAGGACCTAATACAATGGGAAATACGACTTCGCTCTCTATGGTCTGAACATCAGACTAACCATATTGATGTTTTTATACTTTTGCTGGAAACCCGCCAGCACTTAACAGCTATTTCGTCCCAGTATGGGACTCCCCAGCAATGCGCACCCACGACCCCGCCAAGGATCGGACCCGAGGCCTTCAGGTTCCGTAGTCGGCACGTTACCTTTGAACCACAGGGTTGGTTTTAAAGCTTTCCGTGCTGTAGTGTACCATTTTAATTTCAAATCCTATTGGGCAAAAAACAGCACACAAAATATTGGTTTAAGTTGCGAAGTATTGCTACAGCACAGAATGGAAATCGATAAAAGTAGAGCAATGTTGTAGTCAGAAAAAATAAGTGGGAACGAGCAGTGCGTTTGCTGTTTTGAACTGCAATTCGAGTGAGGACGGATACTCCATTACAAATTTTACGTTGTCACTCAGATTTTCCGAATGTTTCTTCCCAGCATCTAAAACAACGAACCTAAGCAGCGTGGATTTCTGTGCACATTTCAAGTACTTTATTAGTGAATCTACCAATTATTTAATTCTAGTCACCTAGATCTCTGCCACATAATGTCTTGCGTGAGATTATAGGAAAGTAAGTTTATAAGAATAATCTACAGGCTTACCTGAGGATTTTGCGAATTCACCAGAGGCACTAGTTGAAAACAGAGTTATTCTGTCTTACATTAAGAATAACATCTAATCATCATCACATTGGTCTTGCTAGCATGCTCGTAAAGGTATGTGACAACACAGTTCAGAATGGTCTGAAGAGTCATAACTGTAGAAAGTTTAGTGAAAATACAAAGACTTAACTTTAGTGCCTGTCAATCCTGCCTAACTACGAGAAACATCCTACTCGACAGATAAGATCAATATTGGACCAGGCGTCCCCATATGACGGTTAAATTTCTCTTAAATCATATTGGTATATGAGACAGGCAAAACCAATGCAGAACTTCCCACACAGGTGCATCAGCTCAAGTTGCCACACTTCACAGTAAAAAACAGGTGGATAGGAAAGGTAATATCAAAATAGATAAAGTTGTGTGAGAGAATAAACAAACTAAAGATGAGGGTCAGTGCGGATAATCATGCTTCAAAAGATGCAAAGAGTGAATACATTTCTACTATTGCGACCGATTTTCAGCCATGTCACCAAGAGTCCAACCAGTGATTCATTTCGTCTCAAGGATTACCAGATAGTTTACCAAGCAGGTAGACTACATCTCTCCATTCGGACCAGGCCAACAGTCAGGGACTTCGTGAACTGGTGCCACATCCTGGCCTCATCAGCCTGAATTTTACTACAACCTAACACAGCTTCCGCTAGCGTAGCACATCAACAAAGGTGGTGACTCGGGATGCTCAAAGAATTTCCAAGCCATTTTATTTCAATAAAACTCAACCCCATCGACCGATTTGCCTATTATGTCTAGTACCCTTCGCCTGGCCTCAATACTGATCAAACGGTGATTCCACCAAAAGCTAGCAATGCTATGTTCAGTTCTAAATCAACATAGGACCAGGCATTACTGTCTAACGGTCCGAGTTGCCACACCTCATATCAGTACATCAAGTGAAAAGTCAGTGAAGTGGAAGATGAAGGTAAGAAAACTCAGTCAAAAGAAATATCAATTACTAAAAGAGAGAAAGGAAGAATGAGAAAATGGTGAGATTCAGTATAGCTTCGTTAAGATGTGGATAATGTGTGCGTATCACCTATAGTCAGTCTCCAACCACTGGTTCCTCTCGTTTCACGGACCCCAACCGGCTAGTCTGCATCGCTCCACATGGCTTAAGCCAACAGTCAGAAACTTCATACATTGGTGTCACGTTTTGGTCTGGCCGCTTCGAGCCTTTTTCCAGCCTGAACCTACTTCGGCCAACTTTGTGTGACAAGACAATCGGTGACTAGGCATACGTAACACGTGTTCCAGCCATCTCAGTCAATGAAGGTTTACAACCGTGTCAACTAACTTACCTTTACTCCCTAGAACTCTACACCTGACGTCTGCGTTACTCACGTGAAGACATCACGGAATACGGCCTATACTATAGAAGCAGTGGTGCTCAAGCACTTAAAGCCTTCTCAAATCTTCCACTTTCAATGGCCATGCTTCACGGCCATACAGTAGATCAGACCGGACTGCTGTGCAGTACACGCTACCGTTAATAGACAATCGGATAACACGGTGGCGAAAACCAGTAGAGCCTTTCGTATCCGTGCAGAGATTTCCTCGACCACTGAGCCACCAGAGCACGGCTGGTCCTACCTCCCAGGTAAGTGAAGTGGTCAACACACTGAACCACTATACTCTCTATTGTTAGCCATGACACCGTTGAAGATCAATCCTGGAGCAACAATTTGCACTTGGGTGGTGAGAAACGCATCCCAAACATTCTCAAATTGCCACTCTAAGTGCTCAGAAGACTCTGCATCTTGCCAGCGTTTTCAGCTAACAGGACTGTGTCATCTGCATATTCTAGGTCTAACGAAAATTCTCATGCGATTAGGTCAATATCTGTGTGGTCAAGTGACGAGAGGGAGACCTCCACAAGAATATCTATGGTAAAGTTGAATAAGAATGGAGACAGTGGGCGCCGTTGACGGACAACACTCCATGAGGATAGCTACTCGGACA